ATTGTTGTCATAGTTTGATGATTGAATTCCTCCCCCTCCTTGCCCCTGCAAGCTCCTCTATTGTGGGTCTGGACCTCAGGGCAGTGAAAAATTGGTGAAACCTCCAAGAGGTGGAAGGAAGTCATTGGAGATGTGTCCTTGAAGGACATTATGGACCACTGTCCTTTCCTCTCTCTTCTTTACTTCCTACCTGCCAGGAGGTGAAAAGGTTAATGTACTATTAATAGAGTTCAGAGTGTGTCTTTTCAAGATTTAGATGGCTTTTATGGAAGCCTGAGCACTGAAATGTTTTCCTTTAGCTCTATGAAAGCTTTGTCCTTTTCTTCCTCTTGCCCTCTGGTTTTTTTTTCTATAAAACCAGCATAATACCTGTTGTAGTGCTGCTGGCTTTATTCCAACAGTCAGAAGACAACAATAACAAGATAAAAGAAAGTGCTCAAGACAAAATTTTAACTCTAAGACCATGCCTGAGTAATCACAAAAAGAAATAACTTTTCCACTGGAAAGATGAATTTATTATCTTTGAAGTTTTGCCTCTACCTCCAAATAGTAGTTGAGCAATAGCAGTTCATTTTCACTAAAATTTGAGTTATTTACCTTTTATAAATTCTCATACACAACAAGGCCTATGGAATCCTAAGGAAGCTATTCATCTGGGACTTATTTTCAACTTATCTGTGCATTCTCTATCCCCTGGAGGGAAGTAAAGCCAATGTGAATGTATACATTTAAAACACATAATCTTGAAAGCTAAGCCTCTATGTATGGAAATGAAGCTAGTAAGAACCAATAAAATATAATGTCCACCAAATTATCTTAGTTCCTGTCCACACAGTTACTCTATTGCATATGTCTCTTGTTTTCCCTCCCCACCCCTTTCTGCTGAAGAAAATTCTTCTTCAGGGTCTGGCTAACCAGTTGCAATGATCAATGTTCAGTGTGAGGCTCCTCTAAGAAAAGAGAAGAGAGGCCCTCCTGGAATAATGAAGATCCTGCCTCCTGCACGAACTCTACATCCCTTGCCTTCCTTTACTTGCTTATGGGCACTCTGAAATCCACCCCTGAGATAGAGCTAGGAGATTGAGAGTATCCGCCACCTTCTTCACCACCAGCTTCATCTCTCAGATCTTCTATAGAGCAACAAGTAGTAAGAATTGCTGTTGTTTCTGACGTATTTATAAGGCACCGTGTGATTTTTTTTTGTTGCTTTGTATGTCCCTCCCCCACAGTATAACCCCTGTATTTGATGTTGGTATAATTTGGGGAGGGGAAGGAAAAAACAAAATGTTTAAATAGGGATAGAGGTTGACCCACTGCAACAATGAGATGTAGAAGACACTATGTTGACAAACGAACTTTACAATTTAGGCAAGGGGGTGGGGAGTGTTATGGTGGAGGTGGGAGGAAAGGGATAGTAAGGGAAAATCAAAGAAGGGGACAACAATGCTTGATAAGAAATGTACTCATTACCTTTTTCATGTAATTGAACCCCTCTGTACAGTATTTTTACAATAAAAACTTACTAAAAAAGAATGTTAGATTCAAGCAACATATTGAACTAACACAAGAAAAATTCATGTTATTAGACATAAGTTTTCTGAACTGCCTTATATAATTTTGAAATCAAAATATACCAAGTTTATAATTGGAAAGTAGCACAGAATGTCTACAATGTGCAAATTAAATTTCTAAAAATCATTCTTCCATATAGTTCAATAAACTATTTGAAACTTCTTAGTGATCAGCAGTGATAACAGATGCATATTAACAAACCTCTCATCTGGATCAACTCTTAGGACTAAAAACTAAATAATAATAAACAATCAGTGGCACATCCCTGCAATCCTACCAACTTAAGAGGCTGAGGTTTGAAAGGCTGAGGTTCAAGGACAACACAGGCAGACAACATCCAATTAAACAGCAAAAAACAGGGACAAGTATGGCATAACTAGTAAAGTACCAGTTGTAAGCAAGCAAGCCAAGTTAGTACAAGCACCTGCTTTGAAGTCAAAATAAATAAGCCCAGCATTTTTGAAGAAAATCCAAAAACATTAGTTAATGGTTGTTGTGGAATTAAATTCAGGTTTTCTTTGTCAACAGCAAGGGCACTGTCACATGTGTAGATGCCCATGTAATGGTATGGCTCAATTTATCATCTTTATTAATGGTGAAATAATTTTGATGAGGCAATGAATTCCCACAGGTTGACATCATTTCAAAAAAAAAAATGATAGATGACCATATTAGAACTCAATATTCCAATTTGTAGGTAATAAAAATCTCTTGACAGTTTTTGGAATGACAGGTTAATTACTCCCCCAATTGCTGTGTTCCTATGAACAACAAATACTTATGGATTATCTGGAAAGGGAATTCTTTTCTCAAAAAGTTTTATTGTAAAAGTGATGTACAGAGCGGGTACGATTGCATAAGTCAGGTAATGAGTTAATTTCTTTTTGAACAGTGTCACCACCGCCCTCATTTTCTCCCAGTTTTTTCCCTCCTGATACTCTTCCCCCAAGTTGTAAAGTTCATCCAACATAATATCTAGTGAGTTTCACTGCTGAATTAGTTCACCCTTTGTTGTTTTAAATTTTTTATTGTAAAGATACTGTACAGTGGGGTTACAGTTACATGAGTAAGGTAGTTACCTCTCCCTTTTTTCCCCAGTCATCCCTTCCCTCCCCACCTCCCCAACTACCCTTCCCATCCCCCCCCACTCCTAAGTTGTAGAGTTCATTTTCAACATAGTGTCTTGTACATCTCATTGTTACAATGGGTCAGCCTGTATCCTTATTTCAGTATTTTGTTATTTCCCTTCCCCTCCTCAAATTAGAAAAATGTGTTACAAGATGCAGGGTACCAGAATCAAATACAGTAAAAACAGGGGTTATACCATGGGGGAAGAACATACAAAAGAAACATATGTCTAAGATAACTTACCAGGCAAGTAGAAAAGGTCAAAAGCTATGCACATATGACCATATAAGATGGTGCTAAGTGAAATGACCCCAAGATAGAGACACAAGAGGGTTTATCTTTGTTGCTGTTGTTTTTAATGTACTTATAATATACTATGTAATTTCTTTTTTTTCTTTTTTTTTATTGTGAAAATACCATATGGAGGGGTTACAATTACATGGGCAAGGTAATGAGTACATTTCTTATCAAGCATTGTAGCCTCCTCCTTTGTTTCCCCTTCTCATTCCTTTCCATCCCCTCCCTCCCCCGCCCCCCCCCCCCCCCCCACCAGAGTTGTAAAGTTCGTTTTCGACATAAGGACTTGTACATCTCATTGTTGCAATGGGTCCACCTGTATCCCTATTTAAACTATTTGTTTTCTCCCTTCCCCTCCACAAATTATACCAACATCAAATACAGTGAAAACAGGGGTTATACCGTGGGAATTAACCAAAGAAGTGAAGGACCTCTATGAGGAAAACTGTGAAAACCTGAAAAAGGAAATCAAAACAGAACTTAGAAAGTGGAAAAACCTCCCATCTTCCTGGATTGGAAGGATCAACATCATGAAAATGGCAATATTTCCCAAGGTTATCTATAAATTCAATGCGATACCTATCAATATTCCAACCTCATTCTTCAAGGAAATAGAAGAGGCAATCCAAAAATTCATATGGAATAGCAAAAATGATCCTTAACAGAAAGAACAGTGCTGGAGGAATATCAATACCAAATTTCAAACTCTATTTCAAAGCCATAGTAATCAAAACAGCTTGGTACTGGCACAAGAACAGACCTCAGGACCAATGGAATAGAATTGAAAACCCAGAAATGAACCCACAGACCTATAGTCACCTAATCTTTGATAAGGTAGCTAAAAAAAATAGAATGGAAGAAAGACAGCCTCTTCAGTAAATGGTGCTGGCAAAATTGGTTAATCACTTGTAAAAAAAAAAAAAAAAAAAAAAAAAAAAACTAAAGTTCTATGTAATTTCTTTCTTTTTTTTTCTTTTTTTTTTTTTTTTTTGGTCAGTTGTAGGCCTTGAACTCTTGGCCTGGGTGCTGTCCCTTAGCTCTTCAGCTCAAGGCTAGCACTGTTCCACTTGAGCCACAGCACCACTTCCAGTTTTCTGGTGGTTATTTGGAGATAAGAGTCTCAGGGACTTTCCTGCCCTGGCTAGTGTTGAACTGTGATCCTCAGATCTCAGACTACTGAGTAGCTAGGGTTACAGGTGTGAGCCATTGATACCTAGATATCTGAATTCTTTTACATCTATCTACATGTTATCTTGTGAAAAAAATTCAAGGCTAAAATCTAAAGACTAGGTCATGAGTAGAGTCACTATATATAATTTGCATTATAAACCAGTACATATTTAGAGTAAAAGGTGAACTGTTAATAATAATTACAAGACAGTAGAGCTGCTATGACATCTCAGAAATCTTGGAAGTTGTTGTCAACTGATCACCTTTCTCATGTGCTTTCTAAGCTGAAATCCAAGCATAAAAAATAAATGAGGTAGCCAAGTGCTGGTGGCTCATGCTTGTAATCCTAGCTACTCAGGAGGCTAAGATCCGAGGATTGAGGTTTGAAGCCAGCCTGGCAGGAAAGTCCATGAGACCCTCCAATTAACCATCTAAAAACCAGAAGTGGCACTGTGGCTCAAAGTAGCAGAGTGCTAGCCTTGAGTGAAAGAGCTCAGGGACAGCACCCAAGCCTTGAGTTCAAGCCCTACAACCTGCAAAAAAGAAAGAAAATAAATGAGATGGGAATTCTCTGTGTCAATGGGAATGATTTAAAGGTGAGAGCTGGATGAATCACTTGACAATGTGATTTACTAATTTTCTTGTGACTTATAGTGCTAGGAAATAATCTTTTCAAAATTATTTTATTTATATTTGGATTTTAGTGTTGTGGATGTGTTTAATGATGTATAAGAAATATGTATTTTTAATTCTAAGTTTACTATTCAGTAAATTCAGTTAATCCATTAAAATATTAAGTTTTCTTAATATTCCTCAATATATTTCTTCTCTAGGGTTTAAATCAGAAGTTCAACATTTCTGAGTTACAGCATAATTTGCAGAAAAGGTGATTGAATTCATATTTACTTTAAGGTGTGAAATCTCAGGGCCTAGTATATGTGGGGCTATGTATAGTAAGAGCCAGAGGACATTTAATGAACAAGATTCATCTTCTTTCCTCCCTCCCTCCCTCCCTCTCTCCCTCCCTCTCTCCCTCCCTCCTTTCCTTCCTTCCTTCTTTCCTTCCTTCTTTCCTTCCTTCCTTCCTTCCTTCCTTCCTTCCTTCCTTCCTTCCTTCCTTCCTTCCTTCCTTCTTTCCCTCCCTTCTTCCCTTTCTTCCTTTTCTTTTCACTTGCCACTCCCCCCATTTTCTCTTTGTCATTCTAACATTAAATCTAGGGCTTTGGGAATGCTAATCATGTTTTCCACAGACCATCATTGTCCATGGATTTCCTTCTTTCTCTCTACAATCCAACTTCATTGCCATGGAAAGTCTCCTTGTGTAAACAGTAGGAATGGGATTTCCCTGCCCTCAGTGTAAAGGGTGGGTTTCTGCTTGAGATTCTAGTCACATATTGTACAGCCCCAACATTTAATGAAATTTTCTACTGTTAAATTGCAACTGAGGCTTAATATATAGCTCAGATTCTCTATGTAATGAATTTTGAATGTCAATTTTGTGGGTCTTTCTTCAATATACCACTACATGAATTTTTAAATTGCCCTCTAGGTAGGTCAAAAAAATACAGCAAAAAAACAGCATCTTTTAATTCTAGTATTAAATATGAGAAAATGACATGTGCATTATTCATATTTAGCAAATGAGTTATGATTTCAGGCACTGAGACACCATTAAATGCACAGTGATCTTAAAGATCTTAAAAATGAACACTAATCACACCAAACTAGTGTTTCAAATAATGAGAAAGAAATCTTATTTTAGAATAGTTCGAGCTGTTTATTGTTTAATAAAATTGATATTTATACTTCATGAAAACTTTAAGATAAACTTAACAAAGCTATGTCAGGGAAGAAGTTAATTTTCTATGAAAGTTAGAATTATATTATAATTTGAATATAATTTTTTCACTATAGAAAAAAATCTACGTAAATAGATGATAACAATTTGTCTTGCAGCCGGGCGCAGGTGGCTCACAAATATAATCCATAGCTACTCAGGAGGCTGAGATCTGAGGATCACAATTCAAAGCCAGCCTGGGCAGGAAAATCAGTGAGACTCTTATTTCCAATAAAAACCACTTGAAAACCAGAAGTGGCACTGTGGCTCAAGTGGTAGAGTGCTCGCCCTGAGCTGAAGAGCTGACAGACAGCACCCAAGCCCAGAGTTCAAGCCCCACAACCAACAACAACAACAAAAAAATTTGTCTTGCAAAAGGACTTTGCAAACATGACTGCTTAATCAAAGTGAAATTATAAAATACAAGCAGATTATTGTTGATTAATTATTAGAACAAATATATACCAATGGGTATGGGAGGAAGGTACAGTGTTTTTAACTTTATACTTTAAATATATAATTTCCTGGTAGAAAATTTTCATTGGTATCTCTAATAAACCTCTTATTTTAATTATGATTGTTAGGATCTAGATTTTTAGGCTAAAATTGCTATTGATATCTTTATATTACATACTTTCAGATAAAAATTTTGTTGAAGAAATGTTAAACCTTTGCAACAAGGAGATGTGTACAAGTCGTTTTGTCAAAAATGAACTTTACAACTTTGGGGGGGGAGGGGGGAGAAAGGCTGGGTGGGGGAGTGGGGGGGAGGGGGGAGGATGGAAAGGGATGGGAAGGGGAAACAAAGGAGGAGGCTACAATGCTTGATAAGAAATGTACTCATTATCTTGCCCATGTAATTGTAACCCCTCTGTACAGTATATTCACAATAAAAAAAAGAAATGTTAAACCTAGAAAAAGCTGCAAAATTACAAAAAAATCTATATGTCTGTGGTAAGTGACAGAATAATAAAAACATAACTGACCAAAAATATCTACTTATTAATTTTCCAATTTTTTTCTTTTTTTGGGGGGGGGGGGTCCGGATCCTGAACTCTGGGCCTGGATGCTGTCCATCAGCTCTTCAGCTCAAGGCTAGCACTCTACCACTTGAGCCACAGCGCCACTCCCGGCTTTTTTCTTTTTGCTTATGTGGTGCTGAGGAATCGAACCCAGGGCCTCAGGCATGCAAGGCAAGCACTCTACCACTGAGCCACCTTCCCAGCCCTACTTATTAATTTTCCAAACTTGTGACTTACTTGGAAAAAATTTAAAAAATTAAAGATTCAATGAAGGGTATTGAGAAGAAGATTAACTCAAACTGTTAGAATGGGTCCAGTAGAATCACAAAAGTTTTCATAAGAAGGTGGTAAGAGGAGAAGAGTTAAAAATTTGATGATAATATGCTATCAACTCTCAAATTTAAAAAAGGATCATATGCAAAAAAACAGAAAGCAGAGGGTTTCCAGAATTTAAAAAGGAAGAAATTTTCCCCAGAACTAATAGAGGATAGTGACAAAAGTTTGACTTTCCAATTATAATGTTCATTCATTATTTATTTTCTCATTTCAAAAGTGATCTTCCTGTTTGTTTGTTGTATAGTATGGTTACACTTTCCATCTGAAAGCATTCTATATATTATAGTCTTTAGTTTTCAGACTCAAATCTCCTCAGACTTGGTCAATAAAAGCCTTTCAAGCAAGTTGTTTTGGTTTTTTTTTTTTTTCTCAGCAATTGCTGGGTTCACGGTTGACACCTCTAAAAGAAAGACAACATACAACTTGTTTATTTAATCAGAGTTTTATGTGACATTAGCTCATGCAGAAATGAAGACCTGAGACACAGAGAACACTGTGTTTTCATGCTAAATCTCAGGAAATAAATGGAAGAAAGGAGCTGTACCAGTTGTATTAATAAGGCCAGGCAACTCAGCAAGGCTGGTCCTTTCAGATCCTTCTTGGCTACCAAGAATTCTTTGGCAGCATTGCTTTCCTCTGGGTGTCACAGTGACTAGAACCTAAACTTCTGCTGCTCTATGAAGAACTAAGAAACAGAAATCAATAGAAGCAAGCACATTTGGTGAGATCTGGCCCTGAAGAAGACAGAAGACTCCATTTCAACTCTGTATCTTAAAAGAATGACATATGCTTCTGAGGTTTTATTATTTCTCTCTCACTTATTTTATTTATATTTGGCTTCTCCTCATTAATAACTTTTTATCTATTCTGCTGTTTATTTTATCACTACATAATTGGGAGTTGTGGTTACTGATTTACTCATTTTTTTAATATTTTATTTTGTTCATTTTCTTATTCTAACTTATATGCTTATTTTATTTTTCTATCTCTAGTTGAATCAATAGATCTTGTGGAGAGTCCAAATTAAGTATTTGATTTGTGCATTTTCTCATAAAGTATAGATTTAAATAAGTCCTAATTCTTTCACCTGCTGTTTATCTGCCTCTTGGGAAATTTGTGTCTCATATTCCTGATTTGTGAGGGCTAACATACATTGCACTGATATTTTGAAACCAATTGTTTGAGGCAACTTTTAAAATGACATCCTTTGTCAAAAGCCACAAGAGATTTCCCCCAGCAACTATGAGCTTCTTTTTAAAAATTTTTTCTTTTGTTTTTATATATTTTTTGTTTATTTCTTTTTTATTCTCCAATTTTTCCAACCTTTTAATCACAAGGTTTTTAAAATATTTTAAATCTCTTAAGGTTATTAGGCAACAAGCTTTCTAAAGAAAAAGGATACAGTTATGATTTTTTCCTAAGTTGTTATTAAAGATTTAAGATTACTGTAGATACATGCACACAATGGAGGAAAGACAGGAGGAAGACACAGAATAAGTGGGAAACAGAACAACATAAAACAGGCCCATCAGCTGCACTGGACATAAAAGAAAAAGAACTAAGCAAACCAAAGACAGTGATGGGAAGGGAGGAAGGAGAGGGAAAGAGGGTACAGCCTATACTAAGCAAAAGGAAAGAAAAGTAAATATCACCTGATGTGAAATAAATAATTTGTATTGTTAAAACTCATAGAATTCACAAACTGTATAGACCATGATAATGACAATGTGCCTTGTGAAGGTTAAAATGTGTTTGTGACTTTATCACTATTCCACAATACTGTGAAATATGTGAAACTTATGTAATCACCTAATCTCAATTTTAAAAACAGTGAGAGAAGGGCTGGGTTAGGAGCCATGGGTGACAATGTTGTCAGACACCTTGTATTCATATACTGTTTTGTAGAATGGGAACTTCTTTGTACAATTACTTAAAGATAATACTAAAAAAATTTTAAAAACTGACATTAAACAAAAAAGAATAGGTCTGCTCTGTAAATTAAAGTTTATATTTTTGTCCTTTTCATAAAAAGAGACTTAGAGTGTTCCTTGGAAATATTGTGAATAAAAAATGTAAATTATGTTTTAAAAAGATTACTGTAAGGTAGAGAAAAGTCAAAAACAATTTTTAAGCAAAACCTAAGATAGGCAGCCATCTTTAGCAAGCTTCTTAAAACATGAGCTGTACGTTGCAATAGACCAGAAATGTGAGGCCAAGGATGAAAAGTATACATAATTATCAACTAGTCCTGGCCAAAGTATGGCCTAGTTGATTATTATGAAAGAGTTCTGAAGAAGTTATCTCTCTCATTACTTGAGGGGAAAATTTTTGGTAAGGATAAACATATTATTGGTCAATGGCAGCTAGTTTGTCCTGAGGAGGAATTCTGTTTCTTTCTTTGGGGTCAGTTCCTTTTATCTCTCCTCAGACATTTTTTATCCTTAATCCTGTCCTTCCTGAATCCCATGTCAATGGCAAAATGGCCACAGAGATCATGGCTCAGAGAAAAGACGGATGCAAAACAAAGCCAATTTGTGAACACAGGCATGAGGAATACTAAGTGCTTTCCAAGCAGAAGCATTTTGGGCACAGTATCCTTTACAATATGATTTTAAGCTTTTAAGGACATTTTACTGAGCACTAGAAGATCAA